ATACTAATAATGTATCAATATAATATACGTACAGATGCAATAATATATTATAAATTTAATATATGTAATTATATTATATAACATAATATAATATTATTAATATTATAATAGTAATATTAATATATAATATTATATATATAATATTAATATAATATAATATAGTATAATATAATATAATAATTATATTAATAATTATATAATATAATATTAATAGCTAATCATATATTATAATACATAATTAGCTTTATATATGATTATATATGATATTAGCTCTATAATATATGATTAGCTCTAAATTTATATATTAAATTATTATTATTATTATTATATATATATATATATTAAATTTATGATGTATTAAATTATTATATATATTAAATTTATAATATATTTGTATTGATTTAATATATAAAAACTTGGCTGTTCGATGCACGGATGCAGGTCGAGTCACAAAAGCAGATGAGAATCGAAAAAGAAAAAAAGATCGAATTCAGGACGCGCGTTCAACGTGCAAAATCTGAACTCGCCTTTATCGGGCCAGGTTTTTTGCTGAACGGCTAACAAGCCGACGGTTGTTAATGCACGGGTCGGTCAAGGGACGGCCGTGGATTCCCTTAAAATATGGAGACCGTAAATGCACGGGAAGACGGGAACGTAATACTGGTCACATAATCCCTCGGTGGCAAACTTGTCGCATTATCCGTTGCATCACGTTCGGCAACTAGGCGCGAGTTTACAGCTAAGGGACATTAGGTACGAGGACGGGGCTAAGACAGCTGACAACGGGCACGAGCCACCTGAGGAACTAACGAGGCGAAGTTGACTTGGCAACCAGAGAAATCCATGGAACAAAATTACAGTAAATTCGCTCTCCCGAATTTTCCTTCGGGTTTGCAAACAAAAACGGACAATTTTTGGGAAGCGGAGATACGATTGTACGAGTTTTGAACCTCGTTTTCGTAATCGTCGACGATCGGCAACTATGAAAATTGTTGTAAATGCATAATGATCCGCGGTTTAGCAATAACGTTAATATTATCAACATTGTTGCCGGTGGCACTAATGTTGAAATAATAAGTAATATTAAGTAATGTTGAATTAGTAAAAGTAATATTATCTTTAGTATTTTAATAACTTGCTTACTATAATAATAATATTATAGTACTAGTATATATATAGTACTACTATATATAGTACTATTATATTATATTAGTACTACTGTATATAGTACTATTATATTTATAGTACTACTATGTATAGTACTACTATTTATAGTACTACTATATATAGTACTATTATATGTATATTAGTACTACTGTATATAGCACTATTATATATTAGTACTACTATATATAGTACTATTATATATTAGTACTACTATATATAGCACTATTATATATCAGTACTACTATACATAGCACTATTATATATTAGTACTACTATATATAGCACTATTATATATTAGTACTACTGTATATAGTACTATTATATATTAGTACTACACTGTATATGGTACTATTATATATATAATATACTATACAATATAATAACATTATAATAATAATAATAATAATAATAATAATAATAATAATACACTATAATAATTAGAAAGAAGGGACCGACCGACGATAAAAGAAAAAAGAGAAGCACGGTCATCGTCCGACAAGCCGTCGGATCGGGGCACGGTAGCCGGTGCGCATGATTGATACAGAGAGACACGACCGTCGACAAATGCCCCGCGCCCGCCGTTTAATTCGTATTTTTACTTTCAAATTGCGTCCGACCGCCGCCGCTTCCACGTTCCGGCAATGAGAGGGGCAGATACATCATGTCCTATCAGAGGAAGCCATCAATGGCGTAACCGGGAAGCCGTCCAAAGTTCTCTAACGATGATGTATCGAGGTAGCATGAGAGACCCCTAAACTTGCGGCCATTCCGATACACCGTAAGTTACCGGTTCTTTCTCACTTTCTCTTTCTCTCCCCCCCCCCCCCCCCCCCCCCCCCCCCCCCCCCCCCCC